CAAGTATTGTTTGATATTTTCACAGCAAACTCTCGGAAGACGAATGAAGCAAGCAGACTTCGTACGAAATCTTGCTGATATGTGCGATGGAAAAGACTATCCAAGCACCTTACTCAAGGTAACATCCGTTCTGTGATTTATGACGTAAACAAAACCTCGCTGAAGTTCTCCTTCTTTGAGTCAGAGAGCGATGAAAGTCAACACTGATTTGAGACAAATGGAGACAAAACTTGGGTTTTGGTAGACTGACTATTAAAGTTTTTTTGGGTTTTTATTGTCTTGTAGAACGTGTTTTCTTCAATAAAAACGAATCGTTTGGAATTTCACACGTAAGTTGAATGCTCTAATGCTATAAATACCAAGTAGCACTAGGAACGAATCACACTTCCAGAGTTCAGACATCAGTGCTTCCGGCTTATTCCTTAAGACGACGCGTGTGTGTTTTGATTTCTCTAGGGACGATATTCTGCCTAATCACGTCAACGAGAGAGTCCAGACTATCAACGCTAACGGCAAAGAGTCTAAGGTAGTGTTTTTATAAATAGTGCCCTATTCTGTGCGATACACAAGTTACACTTTTGGACAAATATTTTCTTTAAGCGCGCCTTCTGATATATTCTCTATTCTGTGTCCTCTATTTTGTTATCTAATATATTGCTATAGTCACGAAAAGGCTGACAATGTCGCGAAAATAATATTCTTGTACGTTTGCATGGTGATATCAAATAAGAGATTGCACTGATGAAGGCCCGGGTTAACGGACCGAAAGCTTTGTAGTATTAAATACTTACATGGTGTACTTACAAGCTAATTTACTTAATGTCGCGAAAGTTATTGAATAAGGTTTTTGAGAAAAAGTCTGATATGTGTTTGTAAATTATTTCTTAATTTTTAGAATGCAAATGGAGTAGAAACGACTGGTAGTCTGGCCTTGATGGGGGTAAGTGATATTTTGTGAACTTTTTGTAGATCTCTCCTTCAAAGCTCGCTGTTCACTCCTGAATATTTCAGAAATTAACAAAGTCGGCCAAGCTTTTATTCGTAGTTCAATGTTTTGTATATTTTGATCTAGAATCAGGCGACGAGCGATGAGGTTGTATACAAAGAAGGCCTGCTCTATCGAAAGTTAATTGAAGACATAGGTGGTAAAAAAGGTACGGGTCAGGGCTATACAGCAAGTTATAATATAATGCATTGTATACAACGTACATCTCGATGCCAGGCGAAGTTATCGCTACAACAATTCCATTGTTTTATTTTTTGTTTCTCAGCGTCCGCCTGGAAGCGAAGTTGGCAGCCATTTTTTGGCACTTTACGTGGAATGATCATGTTCCTACATAAGGTAACTTAACGTTCCATATTTACGCATCTGAGGCCAGTTGTTCGAAAGACGTTTAGCTTAAACGATGGATAAGTTCAAAATGGGAACTGAACAAAATTATCTATATATTGACCAAATGAGCTGAAATATTTCGATGTAAATAGTTTAAAAGTCAATGCATGGAGGTACATATTTAATGCATAAAAGTCATTCACAAGATGTATGAGAATATTTTTATACTTTGGTTTATCTACGGCTTAGCTTAAGCAGCTTTCAAACAACCAGCCCATGTTAATTGCTCCTTAATTTTTTTTCACCCAACTTGTGCAAAGCAGGAGTGGACGATTTTAATACCCGGCCGCAACGATTGACCTTTCTTAGGGTTGAAGTAGCTTGGTATTGGTTAATATAGGTTACTGCAAAATGTTTAGCAAAACTTCAACACCGCTGCTGTATTCGTTGACGGAGCTTTGGGAAGCTTTACATTAGGGAGCTTTGACTTTTCAGAGCATAGAGAAAGTGGAAAAATTTTAAATTTAATTTGTATTTCAGCCAGATGAATCAAAGAACTTCAACGACACTCGGTTCTCTCTCGGTGCTCATCACGCGTTCGCCAGCCCTGCCTTTGACTACACGAAGAAATCTTTTGTGTTCAGATTTATCACCGCTGACTGGAAGGTGTTGCTCTTTCAGGCCAGGTATGTGATCGTGCTTGAAACTCTCTTCCATTAGTGGCTTATCCCTTGTGACATCCTATTTACATTTTTAGGAACAAGGCTGATATGTTAGAATGGGTTGAAGGATTGAATCTTGTTGCAGCCTCGTTTTCGTCTCCGCCACTCCCAGCACCCGTAGGATCTTGGTGAGTGATGATTATCAATCACACTGTCCAGGCATAAACACTTTGTCTAAACAACGTTTCAGCTTGAAAGAGGCTAAGTGGACTCTATATGAACTGGAGCGATAACTCGGCCGCCATCTTCGAAGTCAATAGATGGACAGGCCCTGGTACCCATTTCGGCTTCAAAGATGGCGGCCAAAAGTCCATCAGTTATCGTTCCAGGGACAGATCAACTAGGACAATCTATGTTGTCTCGCAATAATTAGGTTATTCTTTGGTCCATGTGACTTTCAACATCCTCTTTCGACTGCCATTAACCTTATTAACATAATATATTTTGGGGTTTTTAGCCAGAGATTTCAGAAACCTGTTCTTCCGTTTTCGAGGACCAGACTGACTGTGGTGAGTTACTTTAGGATTTACAAATTCGCCTTTCAGAAAATCTAACATTTCTTGTGCTTGTTTCTCTAGACAGAGCAGTTGGCCAGTCATGAGGCAAAGGTATGTGTTTATCATTGGGCACGGATCGTAAACTTCTCATTCCATCAAGACCATGGCCGGGAAGGGGGATATTTAGGCACTGGTGATAAGTAATTTTCATACCACACTATCCATATCTGTTTGGGCTACTCACACAGACACCCCCTTTGCAATAGTGAAATGGGAAAATTTTTTGAAATCGTATTCGCATGTTTCCAGGCTCAGGAAATGGCGAACGTACTCATAGATCACTTGAACAATCAGCCTCAAGGCGTTGATAAGAGAAATCATGAAATGATTGGATGGATGGAGAAACGAGATTTTTATGAGTATGAGGTAATCTATACCTTCAGTCTTCGCGGTGATGAATAGCTCATTTAAAAAATACTTCAAACGAGTTCCCGAGTAAACAAAATTACGGGGTAAACTCGGAAAAACTTCCTTTTACCCCAATGAAGAGCATTACTAATTATTTTCTTTAATTGTTTGGCCGTTTTCCTAAATTTTGTGGGGGGTTTCAGTAGATTCCTTTGTGTTCAAATTCGGTAAAGCTTTCCGCGCAAGGTTGGCCTCGCGCATGCGCGTGACGTTTGACGGCGATGTCAATTGAATACGCTATATATACATTTTTGTAGAAAGACAAAAGATTGGAATTTTAGATTAGATTTATTGTTTGATAACACACCTGATATTATTAATTCATGTTTGTTCTGTTTCATTTGCAGTACAAACGTTACCGTTCCTACACAAACATACTCAAGAGTTCAAAGTTACAAGCACAACTACGAGACCGGGGGCCAAAATCTGCGAGTTCAGAAATCGCCTTGAAGAGGAACGGTTTATTAAGTGAAAACATGAGGAGATACAGCTCCTTGAACGACCTACTCAACGCTCCTGAAGGCGAGCAGGCTAACCCTAACTACAGAGAGAGTTATTTTATGGCTATATATAAAGGGTAGAAATTTTTATTGCGGAATAATTTATTTTATGGTCAGTGAATGCTTGCAGGTTAAGTTGGCCCGTTTGTAGCGTGGTCACCAGCGTTTGTGACCTTCATTTCGCCGCTATTCAAATAAAACTTTGGATATCTTCGGGAAGGCTTTGGTTCAGGCTCACAGGTATTACGCAGGATTCCAGGCTTGTACTGTTAACTATCGATGAAAATCTATGCCTGCTGTTATATTACAGCATTTCACGGCGACGCGAAGATAAGAATTTTATCTTCTCGTGCAATATTGAACTACTAAAGATATAATGGAAAATATCATACTGTTCATAATCGGCAACCTCTGTAGGTACTAACGCCTGGCTTGCGAGGTTGTATAATCTTAACCAACTGTGGGATCAACTTCCTAGATGAATGACTAATTCATAACTCAGTTTTGGAATTGAAAACCTGTAACCGATTATTGGTTTCATTATACTTAACTGTCAAACAGATTCAGTGGCAAACTGGCAATGCAATTAAATCATTCTTTACTTTGCATTTATTGGTTAAAATGTTAATTCATGGTTCATTTTCGGTTAATTCATGATTCCTATATTCTTAAATATTTTTGTCCTGAGTAAAGCTATGTGATAAGAATTGATAAATCATCGATTGTTGATTGCGCAAGCCTGGCATTAGTCAGTCAGAACCCAAGCGATGAAAATCCATCGTATTTTCCATATTTGGAAAGAATTTGAGATGTGTTTTCCACACGTGAAATAATTACAAAACAAAATGACAGCGCTGCATCTCCATGGTTGTTCTCGATCGTAATTTTTACCCACCGTGAAATCAAACCGCTCTACGTTTTTTATGCGTTCAGTTCGAAAGACGAACACGAACATAACTAGAGTGGTAAACTTGTGTACTGACCCATATAGCTATATATAGCATAATTATTATACTGTACACACAAATGGCATTCCAATTTCATTGATGATGGTTTGCAAAACTAGGATAAGATATGGTTTTATGGTTATCTTGCAGAGCTGTGTTATTTATTCTATTGGTAGAGTTCATAAGTTAATGTTATAGAGTATTTATTTCTATGTTGTAAAAAGTTTGTATTAGGAATGTAGTTTATTCAGAGTACAAAGTGCAGTCACTCACTGTGGATTTCGATAAAAACTTTTAACCATACATTTGTAATAATCAAAGTAACAAATAAAGTGTCTTTGATCAAAGATGGGGATAATAAATGCAATAATATGCAGATAAACATCAAGATAAGTCCGCCAAAGTTACAATTTAAGACTGGAAGCTTGCATGTAATTAAATTGTAAAAAATAATTATAATTCCTGTTGAATATTCATCATTATTTGTAACATAACAATGCGGAATTCAACTGTAGCAATCGCATAGGACAAGGCTTTGAGAACCGCGGCATTTCCAAACACAGTGTTAGGCTTTTCTTGAGTACAGCTTATTATGGCAAAAGCGGACACACAACCAGCGGAGTTTAAACTGTATTACTGGCCTGAGATAGTTGGCCGTGGCGAATTTATTCGGCTGTTGTTTGCCGAGACACAAACACCGTATGTAGACGTATTTGAAGGCAAGTCGTTCGTCGAGGCGAAGAAAATGGGCTATGGAAAGGCGAAAAGACATTTCGCCTTTCCAGTCCTTGAACATGGTGAAATCTACTTGAGCCAAACGCCGGTCATATGCAGATATTTGGGCAAAAGGCTGGATGGCGGTAGATTGTATCCAAAGACCGAACAAGGTCGACTTCAAGCTGAGATGATCATGGCTGGAATTGTTGACTGGGTTGAAGAAGGTATAAAATTTATTTATCGTTTTATTTGACAAATTTGTTGCTGCTGAGCACTTACTCTCGTAAATATGTAGAATTTAGTGTTTCAGCTTTAAAGATGCACTGTTAATGCAAGAGGGACAAAACCGATGTGAACATAATCATTATTCAATTGTAACTATATATGTTTGACCAAAGCGGCGTTTAACTCGCCAAGGGCACTTTGGCGAGGCCTTGACCTGATGACTGGGTCACGTGTTATGGTAGATTTCCGTGTCAAAGCTTCATCCTCATCTAGCAATGCATTTACCACTCTAGCGACAAGGAACGACTAAATGCAAACTATATTGGCTTTACACTGCAGAAGTCTACCAAGAAAAGCTCATAGGCTAGGCCAATATATGTTTGTTATGTAAACATTGCTCAATATCTGTAAACAATGACGTACGAGTCGGCTTAGAATCTGTGGGTGGATACTTTCAAATAGTCGTTTTTTAATATACCAATATTTCTTAATATACCAATGTTGCCTCCTCAGCTCTGGATGTATTTGTTTAGTGATGATGTCCAAATTTGCGTGATGCATGAGTGGTTCAACAGATTTCATTCAAATATATATGTAATATGTGAATACTGATACTGATTTTATATTTCTCGAGAGTTTTAGTTATGCTGCATATGTGACCCAATAGATCCAATGAGGTTTTTTACCCTCGTAATATTACTAAATAATTTGAATTGCACATACAAGGTACTTGCGACCAAGCGCAAAGCCAACTCTTACAGTAAAAAATGAACTCATGCCAATTACCATGTCTTGATTTTGAATTGACTATCAATGGAATTTGATAAAGTCTCATGAAATCCAAGAATTCAGGACGAATTTTCAAGGAAAGCTCAAAAAGGTTTCAATGACTTTGAATGTTGAAGATTTTCACCCCGAGTATAGATAATTAACAGTTCTTATCGTTTCTAGGTTTACGGGCGTGGCACGCTATCGATACGAACGCAGGTCATCTCGAACAGAAAGAAGAAACGCAGCCTTTTATTGAATATTACAAGAACAAACGGCTTCCAAAGTTTTTGGATTTTTTTGAGACCGTCTTGAAAGAAAATCACAAGAAAACTGGAAAGCTCGTGTTTGTTGGCGACCAGTTGTCATGGGTTGACATTTGCGCATTCCATGTTATTGATGGGAACCTCTTCGAGTGTCCAGAGGTGCTGGACCGTGAGCCCACGGAATACCTAAAGAAGTTTCACAGTGCCATAGCAGAGAGACCAAATATCAAAGCGAGGCTCGACTCCGACAAACGACCCAAATACACTCATACTGGACCAATTGTGTAGAAAATATATGATTGATGTCTTCATGGCTGGATTTTCATTTCAGTCTTTTAAAAATCATGACGCATCGATGAACTCGAGTTTTAAAGGGATATGGCAATAAAATTTATTTTTCTTTTGTTGAAAAAGAAAATTTACACTTCTTATAAAGCCTTTTTACAAAATTTGCTTATTTTCCTTACTTTTCAAGATTTTGGCGATTAAAAACATCGACCATCGAGGTATATCCGCCATTTTGTTTTATAATGAGATCTAATTACGTGACGTCAAAAGCAGAGTTGCTTTAGTAACAATTACTTGTTATTTAATTACTTACAATTATTTTAGGCACAAACTCCCATGGGGAAGAAGCGCAGTATATATGTTGAAAGAGTTCTGAGCCACGCGCAAGGTCTGTTATGTTCAAAAATTTTACTTTGCCAATATACTGAGAGTATTTGTTATATATTTATTACAGTTGCGGACGTTTGGTTTATATTTGATGTTTGGCCTGTTCAATGAAAGGTTGGAATAGGAAATTCAGGGGCTGTTCACAGCGAGTCCGGTTACCGCGATTTAACGAAGCGTAAAATGTTATCAGTAATATATATTATACAGGGTGTTATCAAAAAAACCTGCAACACTTAATATTCATAGGAAGTTAACTAACTCTTCTTTCTTGTTATGTAAACATGATAAACCCGAAAAATAATGCTGAGAAGTTCTGAGAGACCTATATAGATAAAGTCTACTGATTGCAAGCTGGGAAGCTTGGAAAAACTGTTGGGGGGTTAAAATTAATACCTGGCCAAGTCCGAAATATTTCGTCCCGAATAGCCACAAACATTTCGTTAACGGAATTAGCTTCGTTAACCACTGTGCTTGTGGGGTTATTGCGTCTCCAGAAGCCATAATTACTGTCAAACGTACCATCAGTATGAATACAACAGGCAGCTGTCCACATGATTTCTGGAAAAGATATTCTGTATTTTCCCTCTTCGTCTTGGTAACTGCCGAAACCACCCGAACCAAAGAACTTTGGCTTTCCGAGAAAACTTGATGGAATCACGCCAACCACGACATACACTTTTGCATCCTTCTCTTTCGATTGTGCATTTCTTTGACACCTTTTTGCCCCATCTATCAATTTACTCTCAGCACACATCCACTGGTTAGAATTGAAGGAACCTTCTTGAGGTACGGCATTCGTGAAAGAAAATGTGGTATCCATGTCAAACTGTGTTCCGTGGGTTTTCCCGTAATTAGCGGCGATCAGGTGACCTTTGTGGATAGCCATCGTGGGTGCGCTGAGATAACGGCAACTTCTCGTACCATCCCAATTCCGAAGCCTTCCGCTCTCATTTTCATAACAGTAAATATGTTTGTTTGAGCCTTTGTAATCACGATTTGTTGCTAAGTTCTCTGGGGACTTTGAAAGAGTTGTATCCATTGTTGTTCTCCAAGCGTCCTTCCGTTTTATATTTTGTTTACCTGTAAAAAATAACAAATTCGTTTTTACCGTTGACCTTCACCTCCCGTAACCTGCATAGATTTTGACCGCTGGACTCTTATCTAAAAGGAAGAGGTCGCCAAAGGTCGACGAAAAGGGCTTGCATGGGCTTCCTCACCCTGATTTTGAAGCTGCTTTTTGTGTTATTAGTTTTTGGGGAGAAGTAAGGGAACTAAAACTCTGCCCGGAGTTTTTCATAGATGAAAAACGTGACGTTTGATGTTAGTATATACTTGATAATTTTTAAATTGATAGAAATATTATCTACCGACGAATTGACTCATTTATTCCATATAAACCTATGGGCATACATTTATTAAAATTAGCGCCGTTGATCACTGTGGCAGCATACAATGCTGAACGTGCATTGCAGTCGTACAGAACTGCAACGGTTCCTCCTTCACATATTGTTCCAACTCTTGGCACTTGGCCAAGTGCTAAAACGTCAAGGCCCATTGGTGCAATACCATTTAGATTTCGCGGATCAGCCCGTGCAGCTGGCAACACCCTATCCGTCCCCAATTCACATCCACCGGCGAAATTACACGCGCAATTCCACCTACGAAAACTGCGGAATCCTTCAGTTCGACAAACCTCTCCAACTAAATATAAATATAAAATTTTTAGCTACGTTTGACATTTAGCTAGACCAAGTAGGGGATTGAGCAATGCAACATAATGTTTACCTCTTTCTAAAACTTTCAATTTCGATTATTACCGTTAGAGTTAAATGAAAATAATTCTAAAATTTAGTGATATATACTGCTTGACAAATTAATATTCAGAAGGTTACAGCAAAACGGCTGCAAGATAAGGCACGAGATTCAACCCCATTCTGTTTACCATTTGCCATCGTAATTTTAATGATTACTTTTTATTGTAATTTGTTTTACTGTTAAAATTTAACATTCGTTTTATATATCTATATATCTATCTATATATAGAGAGAGAGAGAGAGAAACGTAAACAAAATGGCTCGAAGATTTGGGGGGTTAAACGATATAGCTAATGAAATTCAAGTCAGTTTTATATTTGATAAATGTACATAAAAGTGCACCGAAAGGGCGACAAAATTGGAAAATAAAGTATATATTTAACATTATTATATACACAAGCGCCAGATATGAGGTATGCTGCAATTTCATTGGTTGGCTACTAGACAGATATTAGCTCATATCTGTCTTGTAGAGAAAGTAAACAAAATGGCTGAAAGCTTTGGGAAGTTGAGTGAAATAGAAATCCAAGCTTTAGTTGATAATAGCACACCAAAATGCACCGAAAGGGCGACAAAGTTTGTGCATGTATATAATAAAACTACGCGCCAGTTCGGCTATCAGCTCATATACGACTTGAGTTCGCAGAATAACTGTTAAATATTCTGCTCACTTTCGTCGTATATGACTAATATATATATAGGCTTTGCTCGTACAGTCGGCGTTGCGTTTACACATACGAGTTCGCAGAATAACTGATAATTGGTAACATGCATGCATCATCGTTGTTTGCACGGCCGTTCAGTAACATTTGGTAGCGTTGGTGATAATTTGACATCCTCGCGACATATACCTATACTTTCCTCCTCCCAGCTTTTCATCTCCAGCTTGGTCTTCCGCAGCATGGTCTTCCCCTGTTTCGTCTTCGCATTGGCGATCTTTCGCATCCCCCACGGTGTAGTCGGGAGCCGAGGTCTTTCCCCCTTTCCACGTAATTCTACTGCGCCAGGACGTTCACTAAAAGTGGCAGTTCCGACAATAGTTGTTGCTGCAATCAAGGTTATTAGAACGGAGATCTTCATGGCTCTGCGGTAAAACAAAATGTGCGTGATATTTTCTATAAGTGATATATATATATATATATATATATATATATATATATTAATATATATATATATATATAATCTTGGATTTGTGCGTATTAAACCAGCAAAAACACAAACAAATCAACAAAATATAATCATAAAATTGTATTTCATCGCTACACTGTGTTTCGTTTTTGCAACGTTTTTGCGTTTGTATATTTCAAGACTTTCTCCTTCAACAACTTTATCAATATATTTTGTTAGTTTAAATTCAGTCTCGTCTATTTTCTAAGGTTTTCTACCCTAACTTCTCGAGCACTTGTTTTGACCGAATATCAAAAGTATCATCCACTCATGATCGCTCGCCAACAGGTCGAGAAACTCTTTAAAATTCTTTAACTTCCTTTTTTTTGCTTTGATTTCAGAAATATAGTACGTAGTTCCGTTCCTTCAATGAGATGACGCAAAATACTTTTAAAATAACAACATTTTATTCCAATAGGTTAATCACATCTATACAATAGGTTCGAACGAGTGTTAAAGGAAGAGCGTTGTGGACAAACTTGTTTATACGCTTGGCATTTTTGCACGCTAAATTGAACAATTAGAATGTGCCGGGTTTTATTGGAGGCGCGCGACATTTTCTGAAGAGTGGTAATGAATTTTTCGAACGGAGAATTCCTTATATTCGGCTATGTTTTTCCGGAGCGCTTTCTCCGTGAGGTGTTTGGGGGTATAATAGTGTTATAGAGGGTAACAAGAGGTTTATTTTGATATCAATATTGCTATGGTAACGGCAAATGTTTTGCTTCAAGCGAGCTTCTTGTTAGAGGCATTTGGCGCAAATGGCGTCGGGCGGAAATTAAATTTCAAACAACCGCATATTCGGCTTGTATAGCATTCTTTGTGTGAGGTTACTTTTGTACATTTTTGGTATATTTCAAAAGCTAAGGAACCAATCTCAAATCGTATGTTTTTTTTTCTGACAAAAATGAGCTAAGAAACTCAGAATCATGCCTTTTAGAAAGGCATCTCAATACCGCAGATTCAATGTTGGGGAATATATGCGCAACAAAAGACTTGCATGGCAAGCTGTGGAGACGAAACAAAAAAAAGCAAAATGCGTATCCCAGAAGCTTAAACGTTTGGATGATAAGGTAAGAAACGTTTATTTATTTGTATTTATATATTTAACTTGTATATTTCGTGTTTGACTTGCTATTTTTCGTGTATATTATATGGACTTGCGGCTAACCTGATCCACTTAAATTTCCATACCGATAACCGATTTGCTATATTTCTGAGCCAATTTGCATTTTTAATTAAAGCATATTGTATGTTAATGCCTTTGATAAATTTTGTTATATGAATATATGAATATGTTTTCCCTAGTTTGTTAAAAGCTTGTTGAAAACTTGACATTTAATTCCACATTGTAAGATGAACTCTCAAAAACCTAAATTTATGATCTTTAACCCACTGAGCTTCAATGTACTATTAAATATATGTTTTTTATAACTTAATTAACCCAGATGATTTTATTTGTCAGTTGGGAAGCCCAGCAGTGTAATGGTTCACTAAAAATTTGTCAATATTTAACTCATTAGGCTTTAATGCAGTAAATGCACCCACAGTGTATACCCTGCTATCTAATGCCAGAATGATTGTACTTGTTCCACTGAGAAAGCTCTTTTTCAGCTTAGTGGTTAACTAAAAAATCTTACTTGTGCAACATGTAGTGCAACCATTCGTACTAAACAAATCCCAGATGATTATATTTCTCAGTAACCTTACTCTGTATCTACATAGGAGTTAATTTATAATTAACAGAATCCAACATTTCTGAAAGATTAGACAAATTTGGATTTTAAAAAGGATTTGGGGCAACTTTTTAGTATATGAATATCTGGGCATTTCTTTGTCAACACCAAAGTCTACATAACAATATCTCACAAATATATCAATATGTTTAATAGCTTGTGATTGTAAAATCAAAATATATAAGGATAGCTCAAATAGTGTTATAAATTAATGGTGTTTGACATGTGAATTATACATTGTGATAAAGCTTATAAAATTAAACAAAATTGATGTAGAATTTTCTTTAACAATCAAATTAATAATAGTCTATCATTGGGCGTGAGAGTGGCATTATATATACATATGTCCAGTAATTTGGCAGATGCTGTGGTTGTGTGTTCATAACTAGTTAGGAAATATATGAAATTGATGAATTCCTTAGATTTTGCCTTTGTTCCGTTTTATTTTTTATTATTAAAACTTACAGGCCTTGCATGGTACTGGCTATAAATTGGCACAGGCATGATTGAAACAACATTGTACATCTTTCAGAATTATGCTATGTTTTTTAGTTTAAAACATTTTACTAAACATTTATAACAAGTATCAGTTATGTTCAACTTTATATATGCAGGTAAATAGATTGGTGAATGAAATTGAAGACCTAGATAACATCAGGGCTGAATTAGTTGATGATAAGCAGGAAGAACAGGAAGGAAGCTTTAGTATAGGCGAGAAGGCAGTTACTAGACGTAAGAGCAAACCAACAGGGGAAGGTTGTGTGGAGTCTACAGGTAGAAAGCGGAGGAAAGAAACCATGGTAGCAGCATGTGCAATACACGGGGGTAGTGACGAAAACAGGAAGCCAGGAGTTATTGGAATGTTGGAGACATTAGATAGGAAATGTAAGGAGGAAGATATTGTTGAAGGAATGGAAAAGTGTAGCAAGATCAAGAATAAGGTTTTACCGAAGATATACAAAGAAGATTTAAAGAAGTATGAAAGATCAAATGACAATATGTTGCGGTCAATTGCAGTATATTATAGCAAGGGTATTATGGGTAAAGATAAGTATAGGAGAGTTTATAAGGCTAATTCATATAAGCAGGTAGTAGGTAGTAAGCGGGCTGCGCGTATTAAGGTTGCCAACTGTCCCACCCCTCGCCTTGTTCCCTATGACAGGTTAATGCGGTATATAAAATCCATTGATATTGGTGAGTTGTTTAGTGTTCGTGAAAATTTGTGCAATGGTATGGATGAATGTGAGAAAGTCAACGGATGTTACAGGGATATTGAAGATCTTCTTGTAAGACTAGCTAATTTTTATTTGAACAATGGTGAGTATCAAATTGTTAACTTCGGTGAGCCGAATACATTTCATATTGCTCTGGGTGGAGATGGTGCACCTTTTGGAAGAGATGATTCAGCATGTTCATGGTTGGTAAGTTTTCTTAACATTGGACAAGGCGTATTGAGTAGCAACGAAAATTTTCTTCTTTTTGGAGCTAATTGTTCAGAAAACTGTCTACCGGTAAAACGTTTCTTGGGTAAGCTTATGATTGATATTAAACGAATTGAAAGCAAGTCTTACTCTGTTCTAGCTAAAGAAGAAAGCGTTGAAGTCAAGTTTGTATTTTCAGAACTGCCAAACGATATGAAAATGCTTTGTTTTTTAGCTGGGGAGCTTACTAATAGTGCTACGTACTTTTCCACCTTTTGCAGATTAAATCAGGAGTCCATGTCGGTAAACGGAAAAGGAACCTTCGGGCGAAATAAAAACGATACCTGGAAACCGTGGAAATACTCGGAAAGGATCAAACAGGCGAAAAAAGTTTCTGACTTCAAAAAACAACTTGAAAGGAAGAATGTCAAAGCCGCCACCAAACGAACAAATGTGACGACTTTCATTGCTAAGCAGAAAAGCCGCCAAGAATTTGTTCCTTTGGTGGCTGAGCTAATAGACAGAGCTCATGTCGAACCGCTTCATTTAAAAAATAACGCATGTGCCTTAGCTCATCGTTATCTTTTAAATCAAGCGATTGAAATGTCAAAACCTAACTTACCTTCATCTTTTTCTCAGGTTCTACCAGAAACACCATTTTACAAGTTTGTTAATGTTTTAAGATCAAAGTGTAACCTGAATAGGCTGGCGAAACGTATCATACGGTGGTACGACGAAAACGCAAAGCTTGATGGAATGACGTTCAACTATAGATTCACAGGTAAGGACTCTCGCATGTTTTTACACAACTTTATGTTTCTCATTGATGTGCTTGAAAATGGTGTTTCTGGAATAACCTCTAATATACTTCACGTTCATGCTTATCTCTGCCTTTGCTTGCGAAATGCAGTTGCTTTATTTAGTCGGGTAAATATTACTGATGAGCAGGTAAGAGAACTAAAGAAACATTGTGAAAATTTCCATCGTGGTTACTGGCTATATCTGAAAGTGAATCCAACTGTGTGGACTTTAGGTCTTGTTGTTCCTGTTCACACAAAAGAAATGAAGGAACGTTATGGGTTGGGGCTGGGTTTAAACTCAATGGAAGGACGAGAAGCAAAGCATATAGCTATCTCAAAGTACTGTGCAAATACTGCATATAGCCATAGGTGGCAACAGGTTTTCCATCACGAATACATTTCTTTAATTTGGTTGCGTAAACATGGTTATAATAATGTTAATAGTTCTCGTAGTAATAGCACCCTTTCTTATTTCCCCAAGCGAGTGCGCGATAGTGACACTAATTATTGTGATTGTGGTTTACAGAAAGTATTTTCAGATGAGTTGTGTAGGTTTTGCGGTAACGAACTAAGGAACAAGATAAAGGAAAGCTTGGAGAAATGTAAGTCGTTTTTTTAAATACTGTACTGCATGTATACAGTGGAATTCCGTCAATATGACCATTGGTAAGGCCCGGTTCCATTTCAACCATATCGCAGCGAAATGTATCGAATACTCAGAAACAAAGAAATACACGTTTTCAGGGTATTTATGACAACTGTTTCAGAAAAATAAAACATGAAAAAGGGTTTAATAATGACCCTAAAGGCCTAATTTCGAATGGAAATTATACACATGTCAAATTCAACAGCATGTACTGTAATTTCATTAATTTTAATTAGACAATATGTGACATCAAAAGTTGTCGTGCACGCGTTTTCCAGATTTATAGTTTTTGTCACAAAAAAGGAATTGTCGTATAGTCGGGTTCCACTGTATAAGAAATAAAATATATAAGAGGTGATGAAGACGCTAGATTGGTGATTACTTTCATTAATTAAACTAGCGATGGTATCCGGTATAGTAGCGATAATTGCGATGGATTATTTAGCTGATAGCATGAACTTATAATTTCAATTAAAGAAATCTTAAAGCTCCGTTTACACTGTACGCGTGATATTTGTAGGGCACAGATAAAATTCCGGCCGTGCCACTTTTACAAGTACTTGGACTACCTAAATAGATCGTCCAAGCACGGATAAAAATGGTACGGGTACCAGATTTATCCGTGCCGTACCAAATATCGCGCGTAGTGTAAACCGGGCTATAATAATACCGCGCGACTATAGTTGAATAGTGTCAGGGGTATTATATTCCCTAAGGGTACTCGAACAGCGTTCTGATTTGTTCTTTTGTTTTATTCTGTCGTTTGTTTCGTGATGTGTCGTTCATTGTTTCGTGTTTCCATAGTGTTGAATGTTGATGCGGTGTTACGCTGCTCGTTTGTGTTACGTTTGTGTCACGTGGTGTTGCGTTTTTCATCTTGTCTGTACGTAACGAAGTAACTGATTAATTTCATGTGGATATTATATCTTGTTGTTTAAAGCTGGGTTACATGCAGTCTGTAATGTAAAGAAAGGCTTTGTTTACATTTTGAATCACTATGTATCTTAAAACATCTTGTTCTGTCCGAATATTTACTAGTATTACCATTTCATTACACTAACTTTTTTAAATGAAAGTTTGTGTTCGAAGAAATTTAAAACATGCGAAATTTGGGCTGCTTTCAACTGTCGCGTTTTGTGCACCTATATGTACACGCAGCAATTTAAATAATTTAAATGATACTTTCAAAAATTTGCGATTGAATAGTTGCATTGCGTTGGACTCTTTTGAAGATTTGTTATGTTTTTCTGGCATAAAATTAATTATATAAAAACTTTGAAGGTTTTAAATATTTATGTGCGTGTATGTACCTGTAAAAAACGAGATGGTGGAATCCGCCCTTAGGCTTAGGCAATTTCTGAATCATGGAGCCCCCAAATTTATGAGCAGAACCGCAATGTGCAGAATCCGGTCAATCCGCTGTAACCCCTCTTTAAACTGATTTATAACCTGTCATTGCCATTGGGAACGTTTCTAAATGTGAAGGTTTGTTGACCAAACATGCAAGCTAGCGGCATAAATGATTCATTTTCTACTTTGAAATAAGTTCGTTCAGGATAAAATTATAAACATAATGTTTGCACGATAAGCGAACTTTATTGCTTAAGAAAGACGTTCTGTGATAATACCCAGATGATTTTCAATTAAATCTGTGTTCACATGCATGCCATGCCCGGTTTGGCAACCTTTGTCGCGCGTAGTCTGTACGGCCTGCATACTCTGGACGCGATTCGCCATAATGCGACGCGAATTTTTTTATTTTCAGAAACAAATTAATTCAATTCTTAAAGGACCTTTTGCGATATATGGGCACCAGAGTAGTCAAAATGTACCTTCAATCGGTATTACCAAGAATATTATTGCGTTGTCAAAATTAGCGGTTTATAGTTATAAAAACTGAATTCGTAAAAATCGCGTCGCGTTGGCCGGATCTCATCCGGTTTGTGTAGGCCTTTAGCCCCACACAGACGATTAATTTTTTTGTCAACCTAGCTCCTTGTCGAGAGTAATTTGCTCGTGTGCACCTTGCAAAGAGCTGAAACTTCTAAGAGAAAACTGCTCGTTTGTGTGGGCCTTTAAAATTTAAGTCAGTATGATTAAGTACGACCAATGAACTTAATTCAAATCTGCCTCATGTTTCCACAGCTGAATGAGTTAACCTATCTTACTCTGCAGGAAGCAGTACATGGATTGCCACTGAATTACAATCCATGTACTTAGGCTATAGCCGGTATACATGTTTCAGACATACACGCTTATATTAATAGCGTAAATCACTAAATTTATACGTAATGCTTTTCAACATTTTATAGTCAAAAACAATTTTGATGAAAATGTGTTGTGACGCCGACTCGAATCATGCATGAAATCGAACAATCATTTAGCAGGATTTGCTCTTTTGTGTGAGTACATCAGCAGAATTGATATAAGTTTTAATGATTGAGAGAAATGTTTATCATGATTCATTCTATTTATGGCATGTGTCATACTCCAACTTGATGCTTAAAACAAATACCCTGTCATGATTGTGATATTCTTTCTTATTAATGTCCAATATATGTTATTAATATATTTGACCATATAAACATACACAATTGTGTATATATGAGAAATTTACCTATAAACCAGAAATATTTAGCACTGTTATTAGTTTTGATTATTGTTCTGATTAGTTGCAATGTCTCAAATGTATTTACAATATAACAACACTATATAAGTGGGCTTTAACCAAATAATGTACAAATGTAAAATATACAGTAACATACTAACTGTGTATGTAAGCACACTGGAATATGCTAATACATCTTAATAACAACTCTGAACAATGTCGGCCGCACAACATTGATCAATCATGTTCATATCAATATTGCATCAACCTGATGTTTTTTAAGTGTGTACTTGTTAGTATATTAGTTTGACAAAGTATTGAAATCAGTGCTATCAGTTTTAAAGTGTTCAGGTTACTTGCAATGTCTTAACCTTGTATTTACACAAATATGGTCATTTTACATAACTGTGTATGTTAAACACACAGGAATTGCTATGCATATGTTGCATACATCTTGATTATTAGTGTATTAGTTTTGTAATTTTTGCATGAAATATGTATGTTTGATTTCTATTTTTAGAATAGATATATATTAAGACAAAAACTTGTGTTGTAAACCTATACTCATTTGTATAAACTCTTCAAAGCTCCATTCTCTCCACTAGTATTCAAGTATCCACTAGTATCCAAGGGGTAAAAATCTCAGTGCATCCTAGTTATATTTTTCTGAAAAAGTCCTGATGATTTTTCTTTTCAATGTGGAATCTTAGAGGACCATTGCAGCTTAATGATAGACAAAGTCATGCAGTACCATTTAGTTAAAATCAAAAAGAGGACTATAAATACATTTTAAATGTATTGTAACATAAATACATTAAAAATGTATTTATTGTTTCTTTTTCTTAAAATGGTGGCAGAAGAAAATTGATTTTTTTATCAAATTGTTGGGGGTGGCTGTGGCAAAAAACCCTAAAATTGTGTTTTGTTCTTGACATTATTTGAGTTGTTTGATTTACTATCTGGCAGCAGTTTGATTTTCTGACTGAAAAAGCAACTGGAAAACTAGTCATTAAAAGGGAAGTTCACATATATTTGTCTGCTGGTTTGCCTTCAAAATATTAGTATGTAAATCTATGATTTTGGAGGCAATATCCAGCTATATAAGGATTATTACTTTGATATAGTTAAAAAGGAATATAGAGCTTTGACCAGGATCGTAACTAGAACGATAATTGGGGGGGTGTTTATTCATATATTCAGTTCTGCCCGACGGATTTCCATTGTGAGCTATTGCACTTACAAAAGAAATCCGTCGGGCTGAACTGAATATATGAATAAACACACCCCAATTATCGTTCTAGTTACAGCCCTGGCTTTGACATGGTTCTTAACAGTTGTGAAAACTTGGCAATGAAGTGCATTATAAAAGCCAACATCAGATTAAATTAACTAAACTAAGCATATTTCATCAAAGTGCACTGAGAACAATTCAGATTTTCATAATTTTGGTAATATAATTGCCTGAAATGATCAATCATGTTTGCAGTTACATTACCAAAATTTTGCCTAAAATGATTTAAACAATGCTCTGAATTTTCACAACTGTAAGAACGTGCCTATGTTAAAACGTTTTTCATAGATTAAAGAAATGTTAGCATACATGCTGAGGAACTCCATTTACATTCCATTCACCATAATTAAAACCGATGACTAGTTTTCCAGGCCTTTTCTTGTAAATAAAAACAAAGTCTTTCACCTCGGTTATAATAACTGCCGCTGTGTGACCCTTTCGATTGCCAGAAAAACATCTCTTAAAGTAATCGGCAACTTCATCTATCGACAAGCCAGATAGTAAAACAAACAACTCGTTCACAAGACGCATTGATGTTAAAGATATAACATGTGCCTTCTTGTTTTGGCGCTCATAACAAAAAGGTGCCCACGAAACCATCCATCCCCCGAACAATTCGACACAACGCCGTGAAAACCTCGTAAGGCATATCCCTCGTAATTTCCCCATAATACGGGTTCCGAATGCTCCTTCTACCACCAACCCGTCGCCGAATCCCATTTAACCACAAACGTGATTCTCGCTGCAAAATAGGGCCGACATTGATGGGAATTGCCAGCAATTTCAGCCCAGCCCAGATTCTCCATGGCTTGTTGCAAGTTCAAGCATAGCTTGAACTTGCTCAACACATGCCCCAGTGACAGCCTCTGCATTGCTGCACCCACGCTCAACTGCCAAACTCTCAATTGCCTCCTGAACTTTTGTCAAAGAGTTTGACGGCTGTTCAACGGCGTTTTCGTTGAAGATGTCTTGTTTTAACACTTCTTCCAACGAAAATCGCACATTTGAAACAGCCGCCATGTTTACTTAATTAAATATTCTTGGGCGGTACACCACTGACTCAAATGAACGTGGCGCAAACATTTTGGGGGTATACCGCATGCCATATTGAATGGCAAACTAGCGATTTCGCATGCAAAAATGCCAAGCGTGTATACTAGCTAATTACAATTTTTTTAATGAAAAATAGTTAGAGACAAATTTTTTTAGCTCATCATAGAAATTTTTTTTGCTCATTATCGAATTTTTTTTTGCTTATTATCGAAACTTTTTTTAAAAAATTTCAACAAATAACTACTATTGACAAATGACTATATGCGTGGAAAATTTCACTTCGACACTTGCATATCATTGATATTTCCATCATCTTACCTGAGAAACTTGTGCGAGCTAGGACGTTTAGGAAGAAGAGTTCTTTACTGGTCAACTTTAGTAATCACAATCGCAAACTGATCTAGTTACAACGTATACATGCAGGTTGCATGTTTTAAATATACAAGATTTTGGTGCTCTATTCAAGGAAATGTCAAACGCTTC